AGGGATGACGCAGTGGTGAGAGCGCTCGCCTCCCACCAATGCGGCCAAGGCTCGATTACGACCCGGTGCCATATGTGGGCTCAGTTTGTTGTTGGTTCTCGCCTTGCTCCGAGGGTTTTTCTCAGGGTTCTCCGGTTTTCCTCCCGCCACAAAAACCAACATGTCCAAATTCCAATTCAACCAGGAGAGAGGACCTGCATGCAAACCACCTAAGGCTGATGTGGCTTCCTCTCTAAATATTGTAATTTATTTATACGTGATGGACATTTCCGCGTGATCTCAGCTCATACAAACACTACACTTTTCACTTCCCATAACTGAACACCTCATCTAAGCGGGCATTTATTCTGGTCTCACGGATGTGCGCTCACGGGAGGTTCGCTAGTATAACGGACGCTATACGGGTAATTGGACATAACGCTATACAAGTGGTCTTTTAATTGACTATACCACATTTTTTTCTTGTAATATATTAACTTGACACATTTAGAGGATTGTTCAACAGATGCTGAACGGAAGGTTTGAAATTCCCTTCGTTTCCCTGGCTCAATTAAGAGCACCTGTGCTCGAACTTGATGAATTTGAGAAAAACTATGACTCACAAAGTTTGCAGCTTTTTGAACGTACTGAAGCAACCATCCCTAAGGGAAAGCTTGTTCTTGCTAAGATCCCTTAAAAGAGAGAATAAAACAGAGATCTAACGTCAGTAAATTCCGATAACCACTTCTATGTGTTTTTTCTTTGATCATATCAAATCAAGCACATTATATTATTGCTGAAATGATTTCTGTGATGTGGTTCAAAACTCCCTTGATACAAATTAGTATTTTCCTTTGTTTCATATGCATTATAATATATTACCTACACCAAAAAAGAAAGAAGAAATCAAATTGTAGCGAGGGTTAAATTGAACCACAGCATCTACAAGCTAAATGTCTGACACCCTAGTTCTGTTGTTATACTTACAGTTCAACAGCGGCTGGTGAGACGAGATGCTTGAGTTTCAAGGAAGACAACGAGCCTGCTGAAGAACTGCAGCTGTATTTAAGCGTCGACGGGCTCCTTTTACATTGCACATCTCCCAGAGAGAAAGAAATCGCACATGAGAGAAACAGAAAATATGCCAGACAGTAGCATTTCTTCATCCTCACTCTCTTGGCTTTCAGCAAAATCTTTTAGCGTTCTGTGCACTGCTGACGTCACAAAAGATTCGATAATGACACACAAGGCGAGCGAATAAGGTCACGCGCACTGTGTTACCAGGGTCTGGCGTTACTGAAGATTACGTTCTAGTCGATTAATATTGCCTTCGAATTTTTTAGCCCTGGTCACGACTCACGTGACAGGGGTGCTAATCGGCTATTCTCTTGTTTTTTTTCACTACTAATATTCTCTAAGATTAGACTGTGTCTGCAGTCATTCTATCGAAGACTGCTTAGTGGCAATTAAGTGCGCGCGCTATCTCATGATTGGTGCACGAATCGGAAAGTTCTCCGATGCTTTAACGTAGAAATGCCGAATACGGTCGGGCAGTAATTCTCGGTACTTCTCTCTTCCCTCGACTGAATGACCAAATCTTCACTCGATAGACTAGGGTATCTAAAAGATAGTAAAGCTGCGGCACATTCTGTTGATAGTGACACATTTTATGCGGTGATTCATCCACAACTTCATGCATGATGACGCATCGATGGCGAAGTGCAACAACGGATCGTGGCAAAATAGCGCATGGTGATCTAAACTATGTTTGGACATAAAACGATACACATCAACCTCCCCTTTACCAGATCGCGAAAACCGAAAGATGTGGAAATTGTAGGAGCAGAAATCTAACCCATAAATTCTGTACTGATATGCATAAATGTCTCTAGAACGTTGACAGATTGTGGGACGCGTCCATCGCGATGTGTGAAAATGCTAAAATTTTAGCTTAAATTCATGTTTGGATGAAAAGGAATAGATCGCAAAATATATGAAATTAGCGTGTTCTACGGTTTTCGTTAATTATTCTACAAGCTTTAGTAACAACGATTTCTCTTCGCGTAAGAATTCGACCTAGTAGTTGAGACTGCTAAGAAATGAAATACTAAGTTTAAACTTACGATGTCACAATTAATCGTCCAGCCCTACAAACTTTCACATGGTGCATTAAGAACGAAAGCAAGAGTTGTGAAAGTCAAGCACGATCTCCTTCACATCGTTTTACAGGTAAATCAGAACAAAACAAAACCACTAATCTTTCTCACTGAAACCCACGCGAAAAAGGACGACAGCTGGACGTCTTCGTGTTGTTCGTGGGGCGGCGTAACGCACTTTGGTAAAAAGTGGCGCAGTACACTCTGGTTAAATGCAATGCATTCTGGTAAAAAGTGATGAATTCGAGAACTCGTACTCCCTTCTATATACAGTAGAACCCCGCTAACTCGAACTCTGAAGGGAAACGAAAATCTGTTCGAGTTAGCGGGGTTTCGAGTTATCGGGGTCGATTAAAATATTCAAT